AGTCTATATATGGGTCTGGCCTGAAACAAAGGACTCGTATTTTAAAGCGGCTTTCATGCCCAATGTGAGGTATTGCGACGGATCTGCGATGCTGTGGATCTGTTTCTATTAAAAAGACCTTTGGGGCCCTTCCTATGTCAACATCAAGCACTGAAATATGAAGAAGTGTTCAGGGTAAAAATCAGGGGAACACCACCCAGGATACTGAAAATTGGTTCTCATCTGTTCAATCGGCAGGATATTAATCCTAAACATATGAACTACTCAACAAAGGGATTCTTCTCTAGGTATAAAATCAACCTTGAAAGCTGAAGAGAACAGAGAACGCAGGAATGATCAAGGATCAATATTTCTACACGTTCAAACATGTAAAACATGATAGAGAAATAAGTGCAGTCCATCTGGTGATTGCAGTGGAGGCTGCTGTATATGACGTGTTTTACCTCAAAATGTAAGGAACAGACTTACCGCCCCTCTAAAACATATTTTATATCTTGACATACTGTTGTCTGATTTAATTTCTGAAGGTTAGCTGGAGGAGTTCAGACAATGAAACCTAACGATGTTCTCATGTGCCAAAAGTTCATATTTGTACAACACAACACCAGCTGAAGTGGCGTTTTAATACTTGGCTTGGTTCATATTATTGCAGTTCCAGTTTTGGTCACTGGGGACCAAGCTTGCACTTTGCTCTGGAGTGTGTGTGTCATGGTATGTTTACTTGGCAGAGAAAGCTGACACACCTCTGTGCTCATGTCTAGTTTGCGGATGGGTTGCAGCTTGCAGAGTGCTCGCTGTGTTCGAAACAAAAGCAGCCCGAAGCTAGACTTTTACACAACATACGGACAGTCACTTTAAATGGTACGAAATGCAACATTTTCAGGTTAATGAGCTGTTTAATTTAAGTGGCATCATTTTGACGCAAGAGCACTCTGATGTTAAGATGACCACCCTCACAGAAACCACCCCCAAACAGTGTGTTTTGTGTAGCCCCGAGCCTCACATCCATGTGTAGCTTTATTTCATTTTATTAGAGCAGCAGAATCCCTGTAACCAGGGTGAAATCCAGTTCAGCTGCACAGCTAAGTCGATTACCATCTCTTGTGTAAACCATCTGGGCTCACATCTGTTGACAGAGGTCTTGGCCAGCTGCAGTAAAACTTTACTCTGACATCAGAACTGGCCTGTAGCTAGCCCTGAAATGCATCCTTGCCGTTAATTCAAGAGGTTTAAGCAAAGTAATGGGACCGAATCTAACAGTGAAATTATTACACATTACATTTCTGAAATTGTGAAGTTATTTTAGTATATTGTCACTTCTTCCGTGTGCTTTCAATGTTTGCCATCTCTAAAAGGGGAGCTACGATGTGTGAAAAGTTTTGTTGAAGGAAACCTCAAAGGTTTTAACACAGGAAGACTGCCCTGTTCCTCTTCTGACGCAGCAGAAGTTCGGCATGTTGTTATCTCTGTTCTCTTACCTGAACACCTTTGACTGAGACTGAGACTTTGAGTGGTAGGTTTTACTTTTATTTAAGCTTAACACTGTTCTCATTCTTTTTGCTTTATGGATGTTTCTGTTCCACCACTTAGCAGAGGATTAAGACCCTCAGAGGGCCATTAGCAGCGGGGTAAATTAGGCATCAGGTGCTGTGAGATTCGCATGCTCGACAACCTTGGGTAAAAATATCACTGTTCCACTGTATTATTGTATTTTTAAACTGTGGTTTTAAGCTAAAATGCAGACTATGATTTGCAACTGTGTTTTTGTCACCATTTCTAAAGGGCTGAATTGGTCTTATAAGCAAGGGAAGAGAAAGGTTCCTACTGAGACCTACAACCAGAAAGACATTTAGTGATTATCGCATTGTTAGATCAGAACTCTTTACTGTTTTATCATTTGTGGGGAACCACAAATAATACAAACTCGGCAAGGTGTGATTTAACCCTTACTGTGATATAAACTGACCGTAACAGATAAGAGTATCGATTTTAGAAATGTAAAACTTGAAGGAACCCTGAAAAATACTGTTGTATCCTTCCTACTAGCTGATCGGCAGTACGCTCCAACAGGTGGGAAAAACTCAGAGAAAATGCAAGAAAAAAATTTCACTAACTCCAGTGATTTTCTGGAGTCAATCTTAAGAACAGTAACTGTGGCAATTTCTGAAACCATTAGTTACTAGAACCTTATGATTCCTTGGTACCGATAGAGTTCAAAAGATTAAAATCAAAAAGCCTTCATAAATGTTTGGCTCTCTCTCACTTTGTGACACCCTGAATAAATTGCAGGCATGTCTCAAAATGTCTTTGTCGTCTTAGCAGCTTTGAAGCTGTAACCTTTTGAAACCTTGTTAGAGTTTATTACCAGTTACCGGACTTTGCCTAGAGTAAATGGAGAGCTGTGCTGTGTCCATAGTGAAACTGAGAGGAATGCACCCTGGTCTCTGAGTCCAGAAAGGACTCTCTGCTGTGACGCCCAGTCAGCTGGCATGTTAGCCACGATAAATACGCTAAGGCTAAGGTGGTCCAAATGAATGCGGCTCGGCTTCTGCTCTGTCTCCGCTCTGTCTGCACTACTACGACACCGATGACAGGCATACCTGGCCGCCATTTTCAGGCTTTCAAACTTGGCGAAGGTGTCGACATTATGACACTATGATGTTATTTGGAGGTTAAATACAGGCTGGGCACGTGGAACACTAAAACGTAGTTGGAGCCTGCGTTAACAGAGTGAAGGAGGAGCTGATTACACCTCTCACACACCATTGTGATGCCACTCCCTTAGTTGGGCATGCTTGTGTTGATAAGAGCTCGGCTTTCTCCGTTTAAACCTTATTTTGGACTCCCTGGCTGACTGAAGACTGCTTTTGGTGCGTTCTTGTTTGTGTAAGTAGTATCTCCTTTTTTAGAGCTGGTTCCAGCAGAGGGATAAACCCTGAACTCCTATGAATTTAAACTTAACCCCTCCCTCCCTTCTCTGCCGTGACCCTCTCCTCTGCTCCCACCCTTTCGGGTTCCCTTGAGTCTGATAGTTGGGAGAGGTAGTTCCTGCCTGGCATACTGTAAACTGGGTTTAGCAGCTGTTTTGTCTGTTGCCGTCTCCTCTCTACCTCTTCGGAATACAAGTTGTCTTTTTCTAAGGTACGTCTCACCTCTGCGTTGACTTGAAATGCTGAGTTTCTAATTTTAGGACAGGGCTTCAGAGTGGTGTTTGCTGCTCAGCACACTTTGGAAATGCACATCATGTAGAATATTATACACATTTTATAGCGTATCAGCGAGTTTTAGTTAGACTTAAAGTCGAGAATGAAAAGGAAAAGCTGTCACTTATAGATGAATTCAATGTTTTTAGTTCGTACCAGAAGCTCTTTGAAATACTTCTTCTATATTGCTAAAGGCTATGTTCTTTCACCTACTATTTTAGCTTGTGTTCCCCTTGAAAGACCACGTAATGTTGGTGGCAATCAGCTTGTACCTGGGGAAACATTCGCATGATCACACAAGTGAACTAGTGCTCTTGGATTTGAAACACTGTTGCCATGGAAGGGTCATTAAGTAACCAAAGGAGTGGCTGTCACATCCTGCGTGATTCAACTTTTACAACCTCAGCTCGTCTGATGTCAGCTCACATGGGCTTTTGACAGATTGCGAAAGAAGCAATAATTACTTGGAGATGGTTTGCGAGCAGAATGCACGATGAGTTGAAGGTTACTCACAAGGAGTACGTGGTGGGAGGCTGGATTGCGAAGTCTTGTTTCCGTTTAATAAAAAGAGGAAGCTTTAGATGTTTTTAGTAATGACTCCATATTTATGGTTTTGCTTGCAATAAATGTTTTCTCAAACTTCAGGGACGCTGGGAAAGGCAACAAGTTCATTCTTTGTAATGTTTCAACCTGCGATTACTGATGTTAGCCCAGTCCGGTTTCTCTCCAGGAGCCACAAGATGTAAAAATATAAGAACAGTGATGAAAATATTCTTTTCTAACCTTTCAGACATGAGCTGTTATTAATCGTTTACTGTAAAACAGGATTTTACTGTTTTAAACATGTTTTTATTTTAAAACAAATGGTGATTATGTTTTAAAATGGACGTTTTTATATCATATGATGTTTTTGTCTCATAATGCATACGCTGAGTATTGCTTTGACTCATTCATGAATGCTTGGGAAATCTTTGATACTCCCATGGCAACCTTTCACGGTTCACAAAGCTCCTCCATAAAGCTACAGTCTGCAGCTAACTTTCCATCCCACAGAGCAACCCTCCACCCAGACAACTCCACCAGACTAGCGGCAGCAGCTATAAGCAAACACCTGGTGGAACTGCAAGCCTGTTGAGCTGATCATACGAACCAAAATGATTGTAAACAGCATAATGGACGGCATGGAGAAGCATGGTTGTGATAATAGTGTCGGAGTAGGAGGTTCTTAAAGAGACAGAGGCCCATTTCAACGTGTCAATTTTTTTTGTTTTTGTTTTTGATAAATGCTTTGATTTTTTTTTTTTTTTTTTTGCTTGATGGTTTTATGAAAAAAAAAGTGACTGGACTGGACATAATACTGCCGCTTTAAACTCTTTTTAGCATTAGCTCAGTTAGCTGAAAAACAACCTCCGTGTTACTGTTCTTTATTGAGTCTGGATCTTTACCATAGTTCTAAGTTTTAAAAAGATTGCCAAAATTTCATGTTGCATGTCAGATGTGGGTTGAAATCTCAAATGGGCAAAACAAATCAGTTATGCTGTTCTCAGTTTAGCTTACCTGTATTCTGCTTAAAGGTCAGTGCTAGCTGGAGTTGCTAACGTATGATACATATGTAGAATGATTGAATATGTGGTGTTTCCAATTGCCCAGACTCTGATCAGGACCAATCAAGTTGAAAAATAATCTGATCTTTTAGTTTAGTACTTAGTATTTTGATACTAACTAGGAGAGTATAATCTAATTTAAAAAATATTACAGTTTAACTTAAGTGTGTTTTGATGTGTTTTATTGTTTCAGATGCTTTGTTGGCGGACCTTGAGTCCACAACATCCCACATATCCAAAAGCTCACTCTTCCTTTCTGACGAAGCCGCCTACTCCCTGCCTGTTGGGGGTCAGGACCAGAAAGACATCTGCTCTCCACAGGAGAGAAGTCTGAATGGAGTGGATGATTCAGAGGTAAATGAACGCACACTGTACATGTCATTGTGTTCATCCAAAGCTGTTGGAACAAAATTGCATGACTTCTCTAAGGAACCACGTGTAAATTTGCTTGTTCATTGGTGGATAAACTGGCAAATAGTTACTTTCTATTCTTATTTTTCAGTCGTTCAGCTCGGCTCAGAAAAGTCAGTGGTCTAGACCCAGTGGAGAGGAGGACCACGTTTACAGGTTAGGATGATGCGTGGCGGGTTTAATTAGCTTTTTAGGCATAGAACCTGAGATGGTAGAGACTTTATGTAACAATTGGATATTCCCACAGTCAAACAAGAGCTTGTTTTAACATTTGGCACAGCGCAAAGTTAGAAAACCCCAAAAAATATGGATTTTTAAAACAAGTGCAGGTTCTAAGCAATGTTATGTTTGTTGTCCAGTTTCCCTAACAAGCAGAAGACCAGTGAGTCATCATCATCACCGGCTGCCATGAACTCATCACTGGGGAGCAACCTGTCTGAACTGGACCGCCTGCTGTTGGAGCTCAACGCCGTCCAGCAGAGCACCCCTGCCTTTCCCACAGAAGGTGCTTCCTTCATTTTCTTATAGTTCTCTGAAAGGACGGACATGTCACCGTTTATATTTAACACTTCTGTTTTTGTGGTTGGGTGATTCTGCTTCCTGTGCTGTGCTGTGCTTTGCTCATTGTCCTGTTGTGTTTGAGTTTACAGTCAAATTAACGTTGTATGTGCACAAAAGATTGAAATTAATCTTTTTCTTTATGAAGTAGCTCCACCACTGCCGGCAAGCAGCACTATCCGCCACATCCAGGAGAATGGGCTCTCTGCTCCTGGTAAAGTCCCTCCAGCTACCCTGGAAAAGCCGAAGCATGTCGCAGCAGCGCGAGGAATACAGGACGCACGGCCGAGTGTGGAGAGCCTTCTGGATGAGCTGGAAAGCTCTGTGCCCACACCCATGTAAGAGCAAAGACGTGTGGGCAACAAATTGCCATATTAAAAACAATGAGTCACATGGTTAATTTTTGTGTTTTGCTGTTTTAGTCCCACACCCTTGGTCGTCTCAGATGATAGACAAGCGGAGACCCTGTCTCAACAACAAGCCAGAATGTCTGCGTCCTCTGCCACACGAGAGCTGGATGAACTCATGGCTTCCCTGTCTGACTTCAAAGTCCAAAGCAATGTGAGTGGGGTTCAAGATTGGGCAGACTGGTGATTTGAGATTTTCACGCTTAATCACAGAGAGCTATTTTCAGCTTTGACTGCTTGTTCTTGTATTTTCTCACTTTAACTGTGCAAATTAAATGGGTTGGTTTTCTTTATGCGTTTTCTTTTGTTCTGCCTACATGCACATGGAAAGTTTTCTGTTTTACCGTTTTCTTTATCAGCAGTTGACTTTCAGCCATAAAAGATAACCATGCTTCGGCTAAGCTTTCCAGGGGCATAGTTACAGTCAAGGGTATGATTTTTGCTTGTACAGACTTAACTGTCTTTCCTAAATTCAATTTAGTTTCATTAAATTTTGAATCTTAGTATTATTGCCCCTTGCTGAAGGGTTCAAACCCTTTGGTTCTTTTTTTATTTTTCATTTTGTCAAACTGTCACTGTTGAGTTCATCGTCTATGAATAGATAGAGCATGGTGCAATCGTAAACCTACAAAGCCAATGAACTTACAGGCCCTTAGAGGCTAAAAAAGTCTTGAGACAGGGATGGAGGTTTTATTTCAACTCACTGAACATATAACCAGAGTTTCAGAGGAAGGTGTAGTTTGTGATGCAACTACATGTAAAATAATTCAACTGCACTTTATTTTAGGTTTCAAGTATAAGACTTTTTGAGGTCATGTGTAGAAAACTAGAATGGCATTAAATGCATTTCATTAATTCAGATTTATGTTTTTATATATTCTGTAGTATCATAAACACCTTCTGTAAAACACTATTGTTCTTTTCCTCTACTCACTTCCTATTGTCTTGGCCTTATTTTTCTTTCTCTATCACTGTTTGTTGTCCTTGTTTGTCCTCCATTTCACCACTGTCCCGACTCAGTCCAGCTCTCAGTTGTCTGTCAATCAGGAGTGTGGTGACCCTATTTTTGCCGCTGGATCACCGGTTTCCCAAGCTGTAGCAGGCCCATCTATAACTCCTCAGGATACTCCTCTGCCTCTGGGCTCCACTTCCCCTTCTTCTGCACCTCTTTCATTGGAACTTCACATAGATGAGGATGGTTGCTCTGTCCCTACATGTTCAACTGTAATCACATCTTCTAAGAGCCCTCAGTTCTCCCAAATCCAGCAGAAAGATCATGATGGAAGTGCCACGTCTGAGGTATGTTTGGAGAGCTTCAGTGTCTCCAGTTCTTTGAAGCCTCCCACCCAAGCAGAACTTAGCAGTCTTGCTCATACCTCAGTAACAAAAGCGACTCCATGTAAAGATACTGCTGCCAGGAGCTCCAGTCCAGCCACTGTACCCAAGAGTCCAGTTACTCAGTCTAAAATCTATAGTACCACTAAAGCAAACAATCCCAGTTCTCCTGACATAAAATCTAAAAGCTTTGCTTCTAAAAGTCTTAGTCCTCAAGAAGTTAGGAAGAGTGAAAGTCCAGTGCTAGTGTCCAGCCCTCTGGATGCAGTTCCAAGGACATCTAGTCCCATAACCGTTCCGAGGCTTTCAAGTCCAGTTCCAAAATGTCCAAGTCCATTGACCATCCCTGCTCTCTCTAGCTCACTATCTATCCCGAGAAGTGCGAGTCCTGACACAGTTGGACGAAGTTCTAGTCCTGTGACTATTCCATTTCTTTCTACGCCCGTTCCAAAGACTGCAAGTCCTTTGACTCTTCCTAATAAATCCACTTCTCTAGTTCTACCCAAGAGCTCTGTTACCGAAGCAATCCCAAGAAATTCCTCCCCAGTGACACTTCCAAGGCTTTCAAGTCCAGTAACGGTTCCAAAAATGGACTCTTGGGTTTCTAATGGTAGTCCTCAACTCTATAGAAAAACATTCACTACCTCAGGCACCAGTAGCCCCAGAGTTTCTCCAGTATCTCTTGCCTCTGTACCAATGAACACCCCATACTCCCCAGAAAACACAGGAGATGTCTTGGATTTAACATGGCCATGCCGGGAACCTTTACTGGACGATACCTTAGATAAAATCCTCACTCCTGATTCTAAAAGACTGATTGAGAACCAGGCTTCTGTCTGTGTTGTATCTGGCGATGAAGACAAATCCTGGGAGGAGGAAGATGGACTTTACCCTGAGTATAGCAGAGAGGGAACCTTGACACCCATGACTGAGTCCAGCTGGATGGATGAGTGCTTCACTCCCTCCTCCTGCCCTGGGACACCAGATGCAACGCTGGACTTCCCAGTACAGCAGCTCTCCGCTGTGGATCGACTGTCGGCTTCCGGTCAAGTAGGCATCTCAGCTCTCCCAAAATAAGCTGCTGTCATGAAACTTGACATGTTGCTCATGTGGCATTTTTATAACTCTTCCTCATACACAAGAAAGCTATTTACAATGGTTGTGTCATAAGAATTTCTACAAACTGTTTATCCCCAAATACGGCTAAAAAAAAAAAAGAAGCTTATTTTGGGTGAGCTGTTTGTTCAGGTCTTGAAGGAGTTGTGAGATGGTAGAAACCTGTTGAGAGATTTTTCATTCTCTGTGGTGTGATGCATGTGGTGTCATACAGCAATCACAGAATGGCTTGAGGGAGAAGTCTTGACACTGATGTTGAAAGCTTTGCTGAAAGGTTGTCGACGCACGTTTGCACTTGCTTTTCTTTGACGTCAGTCTGTTTTCCATCTCTGATGGCTAGATAAAAGTAGACACGAAGAGTGCTGGTAATGCTCATGGATTTCTCAATATTCATTTTGATGTTTGGTCTTGCTTTGTGGAAATTTGGAGGTTTAATTTCTCATCATTTTAACTGAAAATGCACTGCTCAAGTTTTCTTTTCCTCTTGGTGTGCGAGTTAGAGAGCAGCTGTTGTAGATCAGTGTGTAACTGTTAAGGCAAAGTTGAAATCATTGCAGAGTATATTTATTTTGGCACTCAGTGTGGTTAACATTACTAAATGTGAACATCTGTGTATTCCCAGACCAATGGTTCCCAACTGGTAAGCGTTCTAGTCTGGCGATCCAAACCAGAGGAATCTTTCAGTTTTCAAAATCAATCATTTATTCAAACATTAATCATGTGACTCAACAACTACATCAATCAGTAACAAGATTTCCAAAAAGGCAGAGGGTAAAGAAGAAATGGGTGCATATTGAAACTGATATTGTCACTGGAATATTTTCCAACATAAGCGCAGTTGCAAGATTTTCTACCATCATCCGTCCCTAAAATGCATTTTGTTTTAAGTCTCTGTGTTTGCCTCTGACTTCATTGTAATCTTCTACAGCAAAGAGTGTCGCTGCTTGTGTGAAGTGTTGGCTCTTATGAATCGCGCATTCGCTGACAGGGATAAGGCTTTTCTAATTTTCCAACCAGCTGCTGAAAATATGGCACACTTCTTTGCCAGTAGATTTCTCAGTGCATCTCTAACTTTAGCAATCCAGCATGCTTTTTAAATGTCTTTAAATTTGAGGTTGTGGTGTTTTGGTTTCATAAGTCATTAAACTTTTGTATGAAAAGGATTTAGGCAGTTATAACCTGAAGCGAGTGGCTGAATGTTTTGCCTCTGTAGTGAGAAGTCGAGCACTGGTACCGTCGAGCTTGCGATGCAATATGTATTGGATTTACCGATAAATGGCATGATCCTGGCTTCCCACACCTCCTTATCATCCACTCTCCAGCTGAAGTCAGTAATCCGCCGCACCAAAGAGACGTCCAACGTGCATCCGATGTACAGGGAGGGATTACTAAGACGTAAGATGGGACCAATTATTGTTAATAAAAGCAACTCGCAAGACCGACTCATTGAGGAGCTGCAGGGCAAGCTGGGGATTGGGCGAGTGGAGCGCAGGCGGAAGCAACAGCCAGATGATTGGCTGACGGAGGGAGTCATCGTCATGTCTAACCCACAGAGAACGCGGGAGGAAGGGATCCAGCCATCTGTGGATAAGGTACACCGATGCCGAGGAACCGCATCGGGATCATGCTCTGTCAAGTTGGACATTAAGTTCCTGGTTTTGGCCGTTTTAACAAGTTTGAGTTCCTTTATGGTTTTTCCATTCTATCTGCATTCCTGTCCTTTCTCTGTTTTCCTTCTTTTCTCCTTCTTTCCACCAGATCATCATCCCACCCGAATCACCTGCCCCACAGAGAAAAGTACTCCCTCCTCCACAAACTCCCCACCGCCCAAAAAGCCCCCACCAGTCAAGCAGACACCCCCACCACTACCCCCTCCGCCTCCGACGCCTCCTCCTCCTCGAGAGCCCACCCCTCCGCCCCCAAAGGAGCCGACTCCTCCGCCACCCAGGGAGCCCACACCTCCCCTCGTGCTTCCCCCGCCATCACCTAGCCCCCCACCCAAGCCCATCACACCACCCCCACCTCCCAAGGTGTTTATATCAGTGGGTTGTCAGACTGAGTACGACCCCATCTTCCCACCATTGCAGGCATGGATCACCTCTCATACTCTCTCTCATTTTTTTTTTTTTTTTTTACATTTGGAGTTTGTGTTACTTGCCATTTGTCAGGCTCTGTTTTGGGGCCTGAGGTCAGGCTTTGTCAGAAATCCACCCGGTCCAGGTTACAAGGGGTTATGACTCTTCGAGGTGAGAGACTGAGCCCCTTTTCTAATTCCGACATCCGACGGCGCCAAGAGCCGTGTGTTTGGAGTCCAGAGGAGAATTTAAGAGCTTAGGGTGAAGCAGACTGTAACTCGCCAAAGTTCCCATTGCACTAAGTGTCCTGCCGCGCTCGGGAATGGCAGGCTCGCAGTGCAACCGAAACCTAATCTGCCACATGACAGCACAGTTACCGCCACATTTATAGTAGGACTTAAGTCAACAGGTCCCAGGAGTTTAGATAAAGGCTTATTGATGTTAAAGATCTTGTTTAGTCCACTCTGCCTTTTGCTGATGTTTTTAGTGATTACTTACTATAGTAATTTAATACTTAAAAGTGACTATAGGGTTCATACTCCTGAATCAGGATGTTTTTAATGACATCAGAGGTGAGAAGGTCATTTGTGTAAAATAGAATTCATGGAGCAGAGGTGCTATTTTCTCTCTCGGAGGAATGTGGGAGTCTTAAAGATCCAATAACCTCTACATCTGAGAAGGTCTGAGTGTGCTTACACTGCAGCAGCCAAATTCACTCACACACAATGCTGATGATGTCCCAAAGGACTGCAGAGAAAATTTAGGCTTTATCCAAATATATCTTGTCATTCAGAATCCTATCAAAGCAGGGACCTCAATCTGTTTATCTGTGGAAAATTATTATTAAATCAGTTTGCTAGTTTGTCATGTTGGTCTTCAAAAAGTTGAGACAAGTTGAGTCAGAAAATTCACACAGTAGGGCGACTGGTGCCCTTCACATACAGACACTACTGAGACAAAATGTGCATCCACATGACAAGATGCAGAACCACAGAAAATGACGTAGGCGAATCGGTGGCGCTGCAGCACTGTCAGAGATCGACCCCCCCCCCCCCCAAAAAAAAAAACACACACACACTGCTGCTGTGTTTGTAGTTGTGAGAATGAGTTGGAGATAAAGCCACAAGGTTGTTAAAAAAAGAAAAACAGAAACACGAACAGGGCCTTCTAAAGTTTATTCACTCTGGAACCTAGTTTCAAAAATGATTGTTTCTGGTCTTTTAAGACACCGGTTCTCTTTGGGTTCTCGGCCTGTACAACAAGAAACTTTTTCTGATGCACCTAAAATCGTCTCTGTGTGGATGGGACCTGGAATAATCCTTTCAACTCCCCTCACTATCGTCTGCAAGACCTTTTAACATTACCACAAAAATAACAAAAACAACAAAAAAAAAGAAACAGCAAAATATAAAGTATGATTTGTTTGGGGGGAAATTATGCCACAGAGTTAAGCAATGCTTGTTGCAAGTTGGAAACCTATGGGATTTGCTATGTGCTACCATTAGTAATACAGTAGTTACATTTTTTTCAAAGCAACATATTCCCAATTGGAGGATGAGTAACGTCTCTTATTTTAACGAGGGACTGTCAGACGTGCTGATAAATAGTTTTACCTGTAACTAACTTCTTTATATATGTACAGCAGCCATATTGGATGCTGAACTCAAGGCTATTCAGCTACAATTTCTGCTTAAGGAGACTTTTCTTAACATTTTTTTTGTTAAATGTGTAATAAATTTCAATTTTCCGTTTGTATCAGATCCAGTCACAGGGCATCCAGTCAACCAGCGCTCCTGCAAAACCAGCCAACAAACTGGACAACATGCTGGGAAATCTGCAGTCTGACCTCAACAAACTCGGTGTCCAGACCAACGCGAAGGGGGTCTGCGGTGCCTGCAAGAAACCGATTGCTGGACAGGTGATGACAGAGAATCTTCCTGATCGCATTCAAGCTAATTCCAGCCATGAGCAGTTTACCACCATTTCTATAGACTATTAGCATGTTGCTGTATTACTTTCCCATTATTAATTGAAAATGGTCTCTAAACAACGATACTTTTTGTACGTTAGTGAAATTGTTTTGCAATATATCATCCAGAAAAGCTAATTATCATGACAGGCTTTCCAGAAACTTAGAAACCAGATCAAACGTTTCTGCAGGAATTTCTCACTTGACCCTACATTCTGATTTTTAAGCTAGTCATTTCTCTGGTTGCAGACTATATATTTTACCTGCGAGGGCTAATCTGAAACTCAAAAACGTGCTACTTTGAATTTTAGCATTTGAATAGACATCTGCTTCTGCTCGCAGTAATCCCAGGGCTTCTTGCCGAGCTTGCTCTGCGGGGTGTTTCTCTCGCCGAGCGAGCTCATCACATTTTAACGCTCCGTGTCTCCCCACGCCAGGTGGTGACTGCCATGGGCAGAACGTGGCACCCGGAGCACTTTGTGTGTACCCACTGCCAGGACGAGATAGGCTCCAGGAACTTCTTTGAGCGTGACGGGCAGCCTTACTGCGAGAAAGACTACCACAACCTGTTCTCGCCGCGATGCCACTACTGTAATGGGCCCATCCTGGATGTTAGTAATGCATTCTTCTAAGCGTAGGCTCACTCACACACATGCACACACAGTGGACGGGCAGATAATAATATTTATTTATTCATAAGCTAATGGATTAAGACCTCAGTGGAAAAAGCAGTAAAGGATGGAAGTTGCTTGTCCTGTTCGTGAGGTACTGGCTGAATTTAGGTCACTTCAACTTCTCTTTTGTATGTAACGGTTTTGTAGAGTTAAATTGGTTTGTAAAAATGTAATAACATTGCAGTATTTGAGTGGGCTTTAGGTTTTTTTTTCCACAATGTTTCAAAATAAATTAAACTTAACAGGGACAGGATGTAACTATTAAATAAGTTAGGAGTGGATTTTATTACTTGATTAGGTCACCTCTAAACGGTTGCTACTTTTTATTTATTTTAGGGGGTCAAATTAATTAAAAGTGACGCCCACTTGCTTTTACTTTGGGAGAGTGAAAACAAACGCAAGCTGCACTTTTCAGATTTATTTAATTTTTTGTTGTTTGAAAATATGTACACCCATACATAATTTTTCTTCCACTTTACCATTAATCACTCCCTTCTGCTGGTCCATAACATAGAATCCTACAAAAACAGAAAATACGTCAAACTTTCTGGTTTTAATGGGTCAAAACATAAAAGATTTTATGGACATGAATAGTTTTCCAAGGCACTTGCGTGGCCACAGAGGGCTTTCATTGGATAAGAAGTAATTCATTTAAAATTTTCCACTAATTCATGAGAAGATCACAGTTTTTCCAGAGTTTTCCACAAACTTTCCCGGCAGTGATACAGACAGACAATCTGTGTCACTGCATGTTCCTCTTGTCTCACTTGTCAGCACTCAGTCTTATCTTCACGGTGACACACTCCCTTTGGGTGCTTTTTCCACTGCTCTTACACACACACGCACACACACAAACACAGAGCGCCAGAGGCGTTTGTAGGGAAGCGGACAGTGGATGGTGGACTTTAGCCTGCAGGAGGGTCAACATGAGTCGGTGCCAGTTCTTCCTTACTGATCCTCATGCACTGCCTAACTTCCTCATTTAAAAATAGTGTTTGCTTACTCAGGACATTACTGAGATTTTCCACTTGAGTAAATTAAAAAGTTACAATATACATATCTAACATATTTCTACTGTTATGTATTTCAAATTATGCTCTCTTGCTCCTCCTGGTGGCAACGTTGTAGATCACTTTTAGATCTCTTCTTTAATAAATCTGGCAACACACTGATGTACTGTTAGTAATTATCACTGCTGCAGAGATTTTACATTAAAGGTTGTTTTGGCAGCTAATGCTTTGATCATTAGCTGCCAAAACATGCAGCTAAGACTGAGGAACATGCAGCCAGTTTTAGTTTGTGAGCTTTTTCTGCCCTCTCCTGGCCTCTGTGATCGTTGCTCCTGTCACAGGGATGCTCATACATTCAATTTTCCTCTTGTTTCAACTTTTTTAGAGCTTGAGAGGAGGTGACCATTTGCTTCTCTGATTTTGCAGAAAGTAGTGACAGCTCTGGACAAGACCTGGCATCCAGAGCACTTCTTCTGTGCTCAGTGTGGATCCTTTTTTGGCCCAGAAGGTAGGAGACACACCCACTAGCTATTGTTATGTTATTATTTTCATTTTGTTTAGGGGCTTGTAATTTTTGCTCTTTGTGTCTTTGGTTCTGCTTAGGTTTCCATGAAAAGGATGGAAAGGCGTTCTGCAGAAAGGACTACTTTGACATGTTTGCTCCTAAATGTGGCGGCTGCACCCGGGCCATCCTGGAGAATTACATCTCTGCCCTCAACTCTCTCTGGCACCCAGAGTGCTTCGTCTGCAGGGTGAGCCACTGGCTGCCTCCCAAACATATTAGATTATTATTAAATATCATGGCTTTAATGATATCTTTATCTGACTTTGTGGTTTTGTTCTTTTTACAAGATTTACAGTATTTTGTGAGAGTGTTAGGAACGCTTGAACATTGCTACATTTTGTGACGGTATCACCAAAAACCTGGGAGACAAATCAAGATCAAGTAATTCTTAACTGGACACAGAAAAACAATGCATGATTTTTTCTTTTTTTTTTCTTTTCTTTTTTAATAAATAAAATTGTGTAAAGAGTGGCAAATATTTGTATTCAACTACTTTTAATCTGATACACCAAAAAATTTACCATCTTTTTTTTTTGCATATAAGCATGATATGCAGCTTGTATAAAGTTTTCTTTAACTCAAACAAAATGTGGGTTAATAGAAAATAATGTATGAGTCCAGTTTCTCTCCAGATCGGTGTCATATCAAATTTTTAAAAAGTATTTCAAAGTTTGTGGTTTTAACTTAGAAAAACTAACATTTAAGGAGAATATATGCTTTTACCAAGCACTGTACCATGAGTAAAATCAGAGATCAGTGGTTTAAATGGATTTCTAGTTCATATGTTGGGAGGTTCAGATAAGAGTTTGTCAAGTCCCCATTCAAGGGTTCACATAAAGTAGTAAGTGTCACATCCTGAGACATTCAAAGGCCTCGACGGAAAAGTCAGCAGGTTTTGAACAGAAACATTTTAGAGTGATGATGAGCGTTCAGAAGAGTTTGCAAATGAATGCCCCGTGCCAGACTCAGTTGTCCACTTTGTTTCCCAGGAGTGCTTCACGCCGTTCATAAACGGCAGCTTCTTCGACCACGACGGCCAGCCGTACTGCGAGGCCCATTACCACGAGCGCCGCGGGTCCCTGTGCTCCGGCTGCCAGAAACCCATCACCGGCCGCTGCATCACCGCCATGGGCAAGAAGTTTCACCCGGAGCACTTTGTGTGCGCCTTCTGCCTCAAGCAGCTCAACAAGGGCACCTTCAAAGAGCAGAACGACAAGCCGTACTGCCACGGCTGCTTCGTCAAACTCTTCAGCTAGACCGCATGTCTGCTGTACGTGCAATGAGTGTGAGAGTACGAATGCACAAGGGGGTTGATGCACACCTACGTGCATCTAAAACACATTACAATGAGGGTAGAAATGTTTCTATCAGGGATGACACTGAAAGGGACTTCCCTGGATTTGCCACCTTTTACGCTTTTACTAAAGACCTTTTAACGGAGCCCAAAGAGATTTTCATTTCGATTGCTGTTCCTAAGTGTGCCAGAAACGAGAAAGAAACATCTTGCTTTCTCCTTGGTTGTGTGTAAATTATTATGTTTGATCTGTAAAACTCCCCCCACCCCCATTCAGCAGGGCAAGACCTTGCATCACTTGGTGGTTGGCCTGTGTTGACATGGTTTTCTGCCGATGTGAGACAGCTGCTCGATTGCATGGACCACTGGGAGTAAATGTAAACAGTTTCAAAGTACTACGAGTGTTTGTGGCGAGCAGAGTTTGGACACTGAGCGGTTATCAAAAATGTATTTTTGTAACTTTGGAAATTTCTGAGGTGCCATTTGGAATAACTGAACCACTTTTTGATATGTAAATGTACACAGACATGTTCCGCTTTCTTCTCCAACGTAGAGCTGTTCGATCACTTCAACTTCAAATCTGGCGTCCTATAAATGTGTTTCTTATTTTTCTACAGATTTCATAAGGAAACAAGTATTTTTCAGTTTCAACACACCATTTAACTTTTTTTATTTTATATTAAACAAATAGTTAAATCAATATTGACAGCTTAGACTTAAAAATGGAACCTAAAATGATCTCGGAAAATCCTGATCAGTCCATATCTAACCCTAATCTTTATCAGCTTCAGAAAAAAAAAAAAAAATCAAAATAAGAGCGCTAAAGAATATTTCAATGGTTATGAATGTATGGTAGAAACTGGTGGAAGCTTAATGCCTACAACAAATATAATTTAAAACCCAGTTTTTCAGAATTTGACCTGAACTAAGCATCCAACCTTTGGACAATCAATCGCCACATCTTTTTTAGCTCAATCATTTCCAGAAAAATTTACTGAGCTACACTTTGTTTTAAATTTAATACATTGTCGTGTGTTGTGTCATTTACATTCATAATGAGGATATGAAAACTTGTGTTTTTTGATCTACTTAAAAAGATATTTTTAAAAGAATCACATAGTGAGATCTGCTTTAAACTGCAGGTGCATTTTATGAGGAAAAACAATCTCAAATTGTCTAAAAATTGACGTTCTACTGCTGTATTCGCAGTTATTCAACTATAGAACTATATTTTTAAACTATTTTCAGCATTTTACAGTTTCAGCTTGTGTGCATTTATCTCAGTTGAAATGCATTTTTACAAACTGGTTAAAAGATTTACAGTGGAGTTGTGCGTTTTGATCCGAAGCATGCAATTTCTTTTACCTGGAGATTAACAAGCACCAGCTGCCAGATGCTGTTACAATCATCTACGTTTCTACACCTCGAATATGCTGAACCTAGTCGGCTTTGAACAAAAATGTGTGTGTGTGTTTGTGCGTGTGTGTTTTGGAGCAGGTAAAGGCTCACTCTGGTATGCAAAGAGCTGGCTCTGTTAGCATGTAGCCTACTGTAACGTTGGTCTGTCTCATTCCTTCACACAAGCAGACACATGACAGAGGAAATGCAGCCTGCCGTGTCTTTGTTGTGAATTGTCGTCATCCTGAGGTATTGGTTCAGATGTCACTGACGGAAGCTGGATGCTAGTCTCTACTGGTCAGGAATCAGAATAAGAGCCTAATTCAAGGCCAGGCCTTTAGGGGAAATGCACATGTTGACATTTTCTATCTTTATTTCAATCAAAGCCTCTTTTTGTGTGAAATCGGCCGTTAGATTTAAGTATTTCCAGCGAGATGATCCCATTGCCTTCGGTTTTACAGTGAGCAAAAAATTCATCCAAAAACTCCAGACTTGGGTCGATTTAAAGTGTTTTTCTCGTGCCAAACGTGTCGATGCAATAACGTCTCTGACACTGTGGAGCTCTCAAGCCTTTTCTGTGATTGTTTTTATCTTTTTTTGAGCTAAACTCTGGGAGTCATGCTGAATTTTTAACTGAACTATACACTGTAACAGACGAGATGAGATGAGGAGGATCTTGCTGTTGTTTAGCACGTTATTATGGCGTTCACATGTAGCTGATTGGGATGTGATGGACTTAGCGGGGAGGGGGACGTGGGCGCTGGAGGAAAACGTCCTGGGTTTGCTCATGTTTATCTCATTTTCAAATTGCCTTACATTTTATGCTTTTGGACAATTAATAAAATGGGGGGGAAACGCCTTTTACTTTTAATCCAACTATGTGAACTTTGCTTTGTAAACAGAGTCAACATCCATGTAGCGCTTGGCTATCTGAATTTCCTCATGAGCTATAAATATGTGTGGGTGAGGTGCAAGCCTTTGTGGGTTCTGATTACTGATTGGTGAGTCTCTGCAAATAAAAGAGGAAAAAGTATTTATATTTCTGTCTCCATCGTATCTGTTCTTTTTTGGGTTATGAGGAATGTTTGACCTTTCATTACCGTTGGGACAAATTAGCTGAACATTTGGCACAAATCCTACCTCAAGTATGAATAAAACTGACGGCACTCAACAGGATTTAGCTTCAGGTGACCATAGGTCCAGTCTGAAAAATTATGATAAATTCACAAAAAAAAAAACACTTGAGCTCATTACACTTCAAAGCAAACAAATGTTATTTTAATAGTTCAAAAGAAGCAACTGAACCACAACTTAATCCTAGAGAAATAAGTTTGCATAAAGCATGTCTTCTTATAAATCCACCTCATTAATTTGTGCTCCCTTTTTTTTGTTTTTATATTCACATTCAAACTGTCACGGTTGAAGTTTAGGAAACTTCACACTAAGACAAGGCATCCAAGGCTGGAACATCACAACAGGCATTTCACTTGAACAAAGCTTAGAATGGCAACGAGTATGAATGAAACGAAAGTGTGAAAAATTGGGTCAGTAGGATCTAGATCTGATGAAGCAGGGAAACCCCTCTTTACCAATATGCGTGTCAACATATCGCTACAAAGACAGAATGAATGAAACCACGAGTTTTATGTCTGAAGAGTTTGTACAGGTAACCAGTCTGACAATACCAAGCTGCTCAGATGAAGGCCACATATTCTACATCACTGCAGTGGGATCGGCCAAGTGAAAACACCTGATGGGTGCACGTGCACAACATCGGGTCACTGTGGCGAGGAGAGCAGCCAACACGAAGTCCGCTTTTTGCCAGGGCCTGAAGCTTGTCACCAAGATGCGAAGGACTCTGCGCGCCGTCCAGGATCTCCAGGTGCTCCAGGTGCTGAAGCCGGCGGAGATGCCGGAAGTCTTTCTCAGGCACACGCTCGTGGCGGAGCTTGAGGCTCCTGAGCTTTGGGAACAGCTCTGGGATCTGCGCAACGTTCACTCTCAGATGTGAAGGCCTGGGGTCTATGCGAAGATGGAGGAGGTTCGGCAGCTGCGCCGATATGGCGGACATGTCTTCTGAAGACAACGCAGAGCTGCTCAGCGCGAGGCTGGTCACGGTGGCCGGGATGGACGTGACGTACGTCCTGACAGGTGGGCCTCTGCTGACGGCCAGCGTGGTCAGCTTGGGGAGGTCTTGCAGCCATTTGTTCAGGAGAAACAGGAGGTGAGAACTCACTGGCGGCATCCGTTGATGCTCACTTCCAGAGAAAATTGAAAGGCTGCTCAGGTGAGGCACCTTCTTCATTGTGTTCACCGGGAAAAAGTGATCAGCGTACTGGATGAGCTCCAGAGTGGACAAGAAGGAGATCCTTTCATTAAGTGGTGTCTTTGGCACGTAGCAGCAGGCACGCTTTGAAGACAGTGAGAGGTGCTGCAATTTAGGCAGGTAAGAAAGTATGGTGTCCATCATCCAGATCGGCTCCACTGAGGTGCCAGAGTTATGGCAGGTCAGAGACGTGAGATTTCTGAGGTGGGAAATAAAAGGAAGGAAGCTGGATTTAACGTTACGTCACACAGACTGAGGTGAGTGAGCTGCTCCAGGTGGGTGCGCTTGTGCGCGTCTATCACCACGTCGCTGTTTCTTATAGCCAGACGCTCCAGGTGGGGGAAGTCTTTACCGAAGCCCAGGTTCTCCATGAGGCTTTGCTCCAGGACCAGTGAAGAGAGACGGGGAAGTTCCGAGGAGAGCTCGCTCCAGTCCTTGGCTCTGGGGCTCCTCACCACCACGCTGGAGACTCTCCTGCGACGCAGAGAGTTCCAGAACCGCTTGGTGTAGGAGCCGTTTTTAAAAGTAAGGGCAGCAGTCCAGCCTCTCCAAAGAGACCAGTGGTCGACGAGTTTCCTGAAGTACTTGCAGCAAGCCCGGATGCTTAGTTTGTCTGACACTGAAAGATAGCCGAAAACGTGGGTCCAGACCTCGGCCGGAAGGCGCGGAAGAGGTTGTTCCATCCTTGTGTCCAGGTGAGGGATAATTCAGCGAGCTGACGGATATAAATAAAAGTATTAACTCACTGTGGTCACCACGCTAGTTGCTCGAAGTAGACCCGGAAGCGCCAGATGACTGCTATGAAAGTGAGCCAATGAATGGTCAGCAGCGTCAGGAAACGTCAGCACATCACCTCTGGCGCCATGTTGTGAGTGGCGTTTTGAGGTCACAGAGCAGACTTGTCATAATTATGTGTCGATAATAAAATTATTGTTAGGATTGTTACTATTATTAATTCATCTTAGTCTGTCAGTCTTCAAATTGTAATTCAAAAAATACTTTATTGATCCCAAAGGATCTCCTATTATTGTTGATCATATTATTTCAGATTCTTCAAAGAGTTATTGTAGATGATTAGGGTTGATAGCGGTTTTTTACTCAATGAGTGGTCTCACCAGCGTTTTGACATATGTTCGTAATTTCCATTTTATTTATGTATTTTCAACAGAACATTGGTCCTGGATGATATTTTATTTTGCTCTATAACACTCGATTGTAAACAGAATATGTAAAGTAATTATTTGGTCATTATAGCTGAAAGTAAATGCAATTCAGAGATTTGACATATTTTCAGGGGTGAAGTTGTTAAACCACACTCGCAATGTGTTTTATGTCTTATTTTTTTATTTGCTGAGGTCACTATTTTTTTGTCTCGCAACTCTTTCTACTAAAACGAACTAAAAACAAAAATACCAATACTAAATGCAAAAAATTATTTCGCAAAAAAAAAAATGATCAAGAAATGTATATCGTTTCTTTATTAAGGTTAATTCGCCACTCAGTGATGACATACGTATGCGTCAGGAAACGAGGCCAATGACAGGTCTTCTTTCTCCTTTCCGTTCCTTTTCTTTGCTGTGATTGGTCAGTTCTGTCAAATATAAGCGTCGGTTGAGCCGTTCATTTCCTCTTTCTTTCGCGCGACCCTAACGCTCGGTGAGTTAATTGTGACGCTCTCCTCAAGCCGAAATAAAATGATGCCAAGACAAGTTGTACGTTATCAATGAGTCATATTGAGTGTGTAAACATGTTCGCCCCCACATCTGAATGTATTGATTAATCCTAAATTGGTTGTAAAAGCGTTTTTTAGTAACCGAGGCCTTTGAGGCAGTTGCTAGCCTTCGGTTAGCCGGCTAATGTTAGCTGTGGACCGCATGTCCGCCAGCTTCTGATCATCTATTTTCGTCTTCTCTCGGAACATTTTCATTTCGATGTGTCCCTTCCTTACAGATTACACCTTGTCTTTAAACCGGCTGCTAAGCGATCCCTGGAAGCACATTCAAGATGCCCAGGGAAGACAGGGCCACGTGGAAGTCCAACTACTTTCTGAAAATTATCGTAAGTAGAATTTAACAAACACACACGCCGCTTTCAGCTTAAAACATCTCCCTTGTAATGAACCGTGTCTTGACACACAGTGGTTTCTTGCAGCAACTCTTGGATGATTACCCAAAATGCTTCATAGTGGGGGCAGACAACGTGGGCTCCAAGCAGATGCAGACCATCCGCCTGTCTCTGCGTGGAAAAGCTGTTGTGCTCATGGGCAAAAACACCATGATGCGCAAAGCCATCCGCGGTCACCTGGAGAACAACCCCGCTTTGGAGAAGTGAGTGACTTAAAGGATTCTGTTCCAATCAAGCAGGACAACTACTGTACAGCTGCTGCAGTGCTGTATTGTCGTTCCCCCTGCTAAAAGTAACTTGTCTCCAGCTATCCCTGTCTGTCTACTACCCCGACTGCCAGGGACGCAAGGTCTCAGACACTAAGCCGTTTTTTTCTGTGCAACTGTATTTATCACCTTGCATGCATATAAAATGCCATTGAATTTAATTTCACAGGCTCCTGCCCCACATTAAAGGCAATGTGGGCTTCGTCTTCACCAAGGAGGATCTGACTGAGGTCCGGGACTTGCTGCTGGCTAATAAGGTAAAGAGCTCTTACCTGTCAATCACACACTTCTCCTTACTTGAACTGAAACTAAATTTATATATGCATGAGTCACGCTGTGCTACGATTGCATGTTATTTGAGTGCATTCTATCTCCCTAAGGAGTCTGGCTACTTGTGCATGAAGGAGTTGCAGTGCAGGAAAATTAGTTTAAATAGATTTGTTTGGTTCACCAATTTGTGAAACTATCCACAGACAAGCAGCAAAACGAGATGCCAGACTTTGGTCCATCGATCTTATTTACTTTGCAAATGATTTCTTTAGCATTTTGGCATTCTTATGGCAACCCCATTGATGTGCAGGATAAGTTACAATGCAGCCAGTGCAGTACTGTATTGTCGTTCCCCCTGCAGAAAGTCAAATGTTTCCTCGCTATCCCTGTCTGTCATTTATTCGTTGACTGTCAGGGACGTAAGGTTTCAGACACTCATAACTCTCCGATCTTTTGATTGTCAACCAAGTCTTTAAAAGTTGAATTTTAAAAAGCATTGGAAAGCGATTAAAGTTCCTTGTGTTGTGCTTCAGGTGCCTGCAGCTGCCCGTGCTGGAGCCATCGCCCCCTGTGATGTGACGGTGCCAGCCCAGAATACTGGACTGGGTCCTGAGAAGACCTCTTTCTTCCAGGCTCTGGGCATCACCACCAAAATCTCCAGAGGAACCATTGAAATCTTGGTGCGTATGGAAACGGCTATAAAGTCATGGGATGTTTGACATGGACATGGACAGCCACTTTTGTTGGCTACTTTGGTAACGTCTTTTTTTTTTCTTTCTTTTTCCCCAAGAGTGACGTCGGCCTGATCAAGACTGGCGACAAGGTTGGTGCCAGCGAAGCCACACTGCTCAACATGTTGAACATCTCGCCCTTCTCCTTTGGGCTGATTATCCAGCAAGTGTATGACAACGGCAGTGTTTACAGTCCTGAGGTGCTTGACATCACAGAGGCATCCCTGCATACCAGGTTCTTGGAGGTGAGAAACCTATTCTGAATATATTTCGACGGAACTCTGCTGTGTGAGGAAATATCTCTGGACTGCTGAGTTTACTGATGAATTTCTGAATCCTGTAGGGTGTGAGAAACATCGCCAGTGTGTGTCTGGAGATTGGCTACCCCACTTTGGCTTCTGTCCCCCACTCGGTCATCAATGGCTACAAGAGAGTCCTTGCTGTTGCTGTGGAAACGGATTATTCCTTCCCCCTGGCAGAAAAGGTGCGGTGCAAAAGTCCTTCTTGCTGTAATAACACAGGACAGGTTTTTAGTGCAGCAATGTCAAACCTACAAAAAGATCACTTGGTTCGAGACGGAAACGGTTAACAATTGATTTTCCAAGATTTGTAAGTGAAAAATAACACTGTTGTTTTTCTTGTCCCTGTCTCACAGGTCAAAGCTTACCTGGCTGATCCAACTGCTTTTGCTGCTGTTGCTGCACCTGCAGCAGTTGCAGAAACTGCTGCAGCTCCAGCTGCAAAGGAGGAGGTTAAGGAAGAGTCTGAGGAATCAGATGACGACATGGGCTTTGGGCTGTTCGACTAAAGCAAATACAGCGAACGGAACCTGTTGGAATCAAAAGAACATGATTCAATAAAGTTTGTTAAAATAATCTGTGTATTTTATTTTTTTGTTCTTAATGAAAACCGTTTAAACATGAGCAGAGTTATAATGTACCTGATTCCCCAGGGGTTCTGTTACTGATGGATTTTACTATTGTGGATGCTGCGATGATCGGCTGGAGCTGACGGCTGGCTTATAAAAATGCACTTCTTCCTTGGGTGTGTCAGGTTTCATCTTAATATTGCTGAGGGTGACCAATTTTAGCTTAATTTGAGTTTATAACTGAAGAAAATTGGGAGAAAATCTAGACCTTAAAAATAAACTTGGCAGCAAGTGACTGGAAAATATTAGGCGCTGCCAGTTTGTCTTTTTGAACGACATCCAACACTATCTCCACTCAAAACAGTGAAATTAACTCTTCAACGTGAACTTTTACTTTGAAAATATCAGGCAGGAAGTACTTGGACAGATGCGCTGAAGCTACAGGACAGGCGTCGGCTATGGCTGAGGTAAATGTTTTGCGATTTACCTCCGTATTTATAAGCTTTGCGCTGAAATGGACATGAACACGGTTTCAGGTGGTAACTGAGTTATTATGGGGGGTAAATATTAAAAATTTGTGTCATTTTAAGGGGGGTGCTTGGATAGCCAATAGAAATGTAAGCTAACCTGTTTTTAGCTAGCGACCATTTGATATAGAAAAATTTTTCTGGTTTCAGTTTTAATAAATAATTCTCGTGAGTTTATATTGACTGGTGAGAATTTTATGTGGCTTAGTGACTTATGTACAGAGTTAACGTGCTAACGTGAACATTTTCCTCTCCGCCGCTGGCGTAAACCAGAAAAAGTTACCGGTCTGGTCGAGTTGGGGCCTAGAGGTTGATGACTAATGAATCGGTATGTAAATATCACGTTTTCCTGTTAGCTCGGGCTGTTGAAACTTACACAGCAGAAGATCCGACTCAACATAAAATAGGAGACTATTCATGGTATTAAAACACACGGAAAACATTCATATCTGTGGCAGATTTCGGTTGAAAGTGGTCTTCATTTTAACGAGATACTTCCACGAATGGATGAATGTAGTATTGCCGTGTTGAATGTGCTCCTGGCAATCGCAATGCAAATGAACCCCTCCATGATTTTCCCAGGCAAAATTAACACATTAAAACCAGAAGTGTGGGCAGAGTCTTTTCCTGACAACTTTTTTTGTGCTCATTTTACTTTGTCTTTTTATATATATATATAACGAAAAGAACCATAAGCATCTAATAACATTTACTTAAAAGCAGCTATGTGCACCCAAACACTGGGATATAAAAAAAAGTGGTCTAAGATGCTATTTATACAAGGTTAACGAACAGATCAGGGCACTCGCTGGCTCCCACCCAAAATTAGAGCTGATTGGAATCAAATTTGTCCAGACCCACAGCTTACAGGACCTCCAGCAGCCGGCTGTTTCCTCCAAGGTCTTCATCCAGAGAGACTACAGCTCAGGGACAATATGCAAGTTCCAGACCAAGTTTCCCTCTGAGCTGGAATCTAGGGTATGTAGTAGATTTTCCTTTTTATTTATTTCTTTTTTTCTTTTTATGGTTACGGTGCTTTATTTTCAACACAGTGGATGTAAACTGTTGTTGTGTTTCCAGATGGACAAGCAGCAGTTCGAGGAGACCATGCAGACTCTGAACAACCTGTATGCGGAGGCAGAGAAGCTTGGAGGGAAATCTTACTTGGAGGGCTGCTTGGCTTGTCTGACTGCCTACACCATCTTCTTGTGTATGGAGACACACTACGAAAAGGTAAAACTGCTTTTGCTGGGATTCTCTCCTTGACCTAAATTGCTTCTCGCAGTTTCCTTTGTGGAGAAATTGATCTCATCTCATCTCTGAACTGTGTTGTTTTCTGACTACAGGTGTTAAAGAAGATTGCCAGATACATAAAGGACCAGAATGAGAAGATTTATGCTCCCAGAGGCTTACTGCTGACTGACCCTATAGAGAGAGGCCTCCGAGTTGTATCCTTAACCTGGCTTATTTCACTCAACACCTGCGTACTTTTGACTGAGAAAAGCTATCGCCAAAGAAATTTGATCTACATTAAGCCTAAGCGAAAGAGTAACACGTCTTAATCTTTCCAACATAAAATCAAGTACACGAAGAAAATGTTTTTCTTTGCCATGAGAACCATTTTCTAACTTCTAAAGATATCTCCCAAGCTTTCAGAATTATAAACCCCTGTTTTATTACATGTCACATAAACTCATCAGTGTAAGCATTTATGTAAAGAAAAAAATAATACAAATATTTCAGAAGATAATCCAATATTGTTTAATTAACTCAAAAAGTATCTTTTTTTTTTTTATTATGCGAGATACGTGTTTAAGACTCCAACGTTGCGTCCCTTAACTGTCCCTCTTTCAGGTGGAAATCACCATCTTTGAAGACAGAAGCATTGGATCTGGGAGATAAAACGATTTGTGCCACGTGAAGACGTCCGGTGGCCGCTGTAGCCTTTCCGATCGAGTCACCTTCACCTCCCGAGGGTCCAAACCTGTGTTTTTTCCGCTGTTAACGTGCAGTTGAAATTATGAGATTGCATACTTCCTGCAAAAGAGAAAACGTAAACATATTGAAAATGTATGATCCTATAACTTAACAATGGCTGCTGAACAATCATCAGGACTGTGCTGAAACACAGAAATGTACACTGTCTTCAGTGTTTTTCTATTCTGGAGCAAGATTTCGCTCTATGTCTTATTTTAATGTGCAGGCTGGTGACTGACCAGATACTCCGAATCTGCTTCAAAGTGTATATCCAGACCTCCCTTTCTGAAATGCATGTGTACTTTTAATGTGATCTTTTCTTCCTGTTATTTATAAATACTCTCCTGTTTGCCTTTGTGTATGTTTGTACATGCCTTTTCTTGTCTTTTTCTAATCAAGTCTAAAATGTTGAGCAGGCTTTATAGAATGTGCCATTGTGTTCATTGCCATCATCTCCTCATGCATTACAATTGATTTAAGGTGTTTTGAAAGTTTAAAGACATTCAATGTGTTGTAAAGTTTTGGCCCAGTTTGCGATCACATCGGTTATGGATGGTTAATATTAACAATGAGAGGGTTGCGACCTCTGCAGAACCCATGTTTTCAGTTATGTAAAAGAATGCAAGGGTTTGGGGGTGGGAACCAGTTCTAGAAGTTGTACATTTTAGATGATTTTGGTTTTCAAGATGGAGCATGTTTACCAAGTTCAATTAAATAGCCC